ATGAAAAAATCACCATAGAATTACCCCAGAAATGGGCCAATATGCTTCCACACGAGTGTAAATAATGAGAGTTGAATTTAAAGATTTATTCCCAAACTTTCATTAAATACCTTATGGGCAAAAGATCCTAATTTGTTGTAGCTCCTGGGCCCTGACCCTGGTGATTCTTAGGGGCTGAATTGTATGTTAGGCAGGTCACTATGTGCTTCATTGTTAGCTAGTAAATATACCCGTTTTGATAACTAAAACACGACAGTTGGGTATCTTTATTGATGAAACGTTTCGCCCTCACAGCAAGCTGCCTCACTCAAATACATAAGATGTCGGAATGCTGTTCTTAGGTTTGCTAGGCGCCCGTATGCTGCAGCAGTTATTTGGTTGATGTGCGACTCAGGAGATGTGTTTGGTATGATGCTCACCCCAAGATCCTTTTCCTTAAGTGAGGTTTGTAGGCTCTGGCCCCCTAGACTGTACTCCGTCTGCGGTCTTCTTTGCCCTTTCCCAATCTTCATACAGGGGTTGCAGGTCCAGTAGGGAAATAAAGATGATATTATCAGTCCAAGAACCTTGAAGAAAGGATGTAAGGTGGTCAGTCCCTGAGCCTGGAGAAGAGTTCAGCACCATGGTCTGGAACAAGGTGGTCAGTCCCTCAGCCTGGAGAAGAGTTCAGCACCATGGTCTGGAACAAGGTGGTCAGTCCCTCAGCCTGGAGAAGAGTTCAGTTCCATGGTCTGGAACAAGGTGGTCAGTCCCTCAGCCTGGAGAAGAGTTCCGCACCATGGTCTGGAACAAGGTGGTCAGTCCCTCAGCTGAGAAAGAGTTCAGCACCATGGTCTGGAACAAGGTGGTCATTCCCTCAGCCTGGAGAAGAGTTCAGTTCCATGGTCTGGAACAAGGTGGTCAGTCCCTCAGCCTGGAGAAGAGTTCAGCACCATGGTCTGGAACAAGGTGGTCAGTCCCTCAGCCTGGAGAAGAGTTCAGTTCCATGGTCTGGAACAAGGTGATCAGTCCCTCAGCCTGGAGAAGAGTTCAGCACCATGGTCTGGAATAAGGTGGTCAGTCCCTCAGCCTGGAGAAGAGTTCAGCACCATGGTCTGGAACAAGGTGATCAGTCCCTCAGCCTGGAGAAGAGTTCAGCACCATGGTCTGGAATAAGGTGGTCAGTCCCTCAGCCTGGAGAAGAGTTCAGCACCATGGTCTGGAATAAGGTGGTCAGTCCCTCAGCCGGAAAAAGAGTTCAGCACCAGGGGTCTGGAATAAGGTGGTCAGTCCCCTCAGCCTGGAGAAGATTCAGCACCATGGGTCTGGAATAAGGTTGGTCAGTCCCTCAGCCGGGAGAAGAGTTCACCTCCATGGTCGGAATAAGGAAAGTCAGTCCCTCACCTGGAGAAGATTCAGCACCATGGTCTGGAATAAGGTGGTCAGTCCCTCAGCCTGGAAAAGAGTTCAGCACCATGGTCTGAACAAGGTGATCAGCCCCTCAGCCTGGAGAAGAGTTCAGCACCATGGTCTGGAACAAGGTGGTCAGTCCTCAGCCTGGGGAAGAGTTCACCTCCATGGTCGGAATAAGGTGGTCAGTCCCTCAGCCTGGAGAAGAGTTCAGCACCCATGGTCTGGAATAAGGTGGTCAGTCCCTCACCTGGAGAAGATTCAGCACCATGGTCTGAATAAGGTGGTCAGTTCCCTTCAGCCTGGAGAAGATTCAGCACCATGGTCTGGAATAAGGTGGTCAGTCCCTCAGCCTGGAGAAGAGTTCCCCTCCATGGTCTGGAATAAGGTAGTTCAGTCCCTCAGCCTGGAGAAGAGTTTCAGCACCATGGGCGGGAATAAGGTGGCATCCCCTCAGCCTGGAGAAGAGTTCAGCACCATAGTCGGGAATAAGGTGGCAGTCCCTCACCTGGGAAAGAGTTCAACACCATGGTTTTGGGAATAAGGTGGTCAGTCTCTCAGCCTGGAGAAGAGTTCAGCACCATGGTCTGAAACAAGGGGTCAGTCCCTCAGCCTGGAAAAGAGTCCAGCACCATGGTCTGGAACAAGGTGGTCAGTCCCTCAGCCTGGAGAAGATTTTCAACTCCAGGGTCTGGAACAAGGTTGGTCAGTCCCTCAGCCTGGAGAAGATTTTCAGCACCATGGTCTGGATAATGGTAAATTCCCTCAGCCGGAGAAGAGTTCAGCACCATGGTCTGGAACAAGGTGGTCAGTCCCTCAGCCTGGAGAAGAGTTCAGCACCATGGTCTGGAACAAGGTGGTCAGTCCCTCAGCCTGGAGAAGAGCCCAGCACCATGGTCTGGAACAATGTGAAGCTGAATCACGAGAACGGAGTCTTAAATACTGATGAAGCCTGCTGTGTAGGCGAGCCGTTTAGTCAATAAATATACCCAAGTGTTGTACAGGTGTCTAATTTACCAATTTGTGGGTTTTCTGAACCATTTGTCTACATAAAGTACTGTGTGGCTCGATCCACAGGTTAAAATTATTATTACAATCAAAGTAAGTGCTAAACCCACAAGTGGGATTGAAAAGTGCATTCAGAGATGAATAACTGTGGAAAGGTGCTCATAGCATATGATAGTCGGTCTTGGATGGTAGCGCACTCGCATCACACATTGAGGTCAGTGGCTCGATCCCCGGTACACTATGTACAGTGATAAGTACAGTGCACTCCACGGTAAGCAAGGCAGAAATAGAAGCCACAAGATAGCAGACCGTGCTTCAACCAGCTCTAGAATGGGAATGACAAGGGCAGACAGGAGAGTGGTACCCACATAACCTCTGCGATTGCCAAAACCATCTTCTTATTGGCTAGAACCTGGTCACTAGTTGAACGACGGGGCCCCATCATCAACTCTTAGCAACCTGGTTCGCTGGTTGGGGGAGATAGCCTGTAAATGAGGCTGTGTACATGCGCTGAATAAAGGTTACGTACTCTTTGCATGCCACACCCACACCCCGAGAAGGCTCAGGATTAGGCTGCCACCTCCCAGTGGTAACCGTGCCGCCATGGCACAAAATAATGGGACCGCCTTTCCTCTCCACCATCCAACTCTTAGATAGAGCTCAGCTTTTCTCGTGACAAAAAGCCAAACCCTAAACTCAGAGTGAGACAGCAGTCAGTCAGGCTAGCATAGGTCCAAGATACAGGCGGACGGTAGCCCGCAAACCCTCACTAAAAAAAAACCCCACACCAGGGGATAAAAAAAAGAGCGTGAAAAGGGGTTACCACAAATAATATAACATCCTAACCTAAATAAATAAAAATATTAGACTCTAGATAAAGAGTCCGCCAACACATTTTCTTTGCCGGCAATATATTTAATTCTGAGTGAGTATGGTTGCAGTCTTAGCGTCCAGCGCATGAGCCTTGTGCTGTGGTTCTTCATGGCTTGGAGATATACTAGAGGATTGTGATCACTGTAGACTGTGACCACCTGCGATGTCTGGCCCACATAACATCGAAATGCTTCAAAGCCAGTACCAGCGCGAGGTGGTCACAGTCTACAGTGATCACAATCCTCTAGTATATCTCCAAGCCATGAAGAACCACAACACAAGGCTCATGCACTGGACGCTAAGACTGCAACCATACTCACTCAGAATTAAATATATTGCCGGCAAAGAAAGTGGGGGTTTGTGGGGGCAGTTGGGACGGATATGACCTACTTTGTTACAAAGGAAGCAGACGACAGGCTTGCCCTTTACTCCCTGCTGACGTTGCAAATGGTGTCGTTCTGGCTGGTGTCTCTCTGGATACTGTTGTCGAGATGCACCATGAGTAGTTTGCCTCTCCGCAGGTGGACCATAAGTTGAGAAGCGTGGCTCACCAGGTGACTTAGTTGGCTGACGTAGACATTCTCCCTCCGGCTGGCACTTCATTCTCCAAGGTTGACGATCTCTGCTCATGCCAGGCTGTTGAAAAGAGAGATGGGACCGCTCGGACAAGGAGCGGTTAGTTTCGAAGGTATCAACCAACCTGGCTGCCTCCAATGTAGTGGTTAAGTCACGACCCTGCAGAAAGACTCGAATCGGGTCCCCAGACCCCCAGCGGTTATCATCGAATAAGCTGTACAGTCCCAAGGTAAGAACCATTTGTTTATCCCACGGGTAAAAGTTTGGTTTGCTGTCTCCAAAGTCCCAGGGATTGACCAGCTGTCGTTCCCCGCTTAAAATTTTTTTATATTTGGTGGGATAAATGTTATGCCCCCAACATGGGGTCTTCCTATTATAACGAAAATTCAGCGTCATTTAATACTGACGAAAATTTCCTGTCCCTTACCCAAAAAACTGTATAACCCAAACGATGCCAATGCTTTTCTGGCCCCCCAAAGGGCTAAGTGATTTTCAAAGCTTTAAAAAAATTGTTCTGGTTCGGCCCTCTTTGAAGGGGAAAAACTGACACTTTCTGTAAACTAAAATTTTTTACAGAAGCGAAAACTGCCTTTTCTCTTTCCCCTATAAAATTTTCCCTTGCGAAACTTCGTTCCCTAGTTTGCTAAAGATTGATTTTTGCGCTCAGTGCCAAGCCCTGATTCACCTTGAGAAAACCAGCGCACTATACTGACCATTTGCCCCGTGGTGTATCATTTCCTCCCTGCGAGAACTAGTATTTTTTCCCCTAGCCCCCATAGAGGGGGGTTTGAGTCCATTCTTTTCTATAATTTTTGTCAGCAATCATGAAACATTGCCAGCTGTGAGATGTGTTTATATTAAAAATCCCCAAGGGGAACGAGAAATTTTTCCCAACAATGTGTGGGGGACTTTTTTGGGTGGTTATGAAAAGTATATGCCAAACCCAGACGTTGACTCGTCTAGTGCATGTTATTGCTATGCACAGACGTTTGGGAAATAGCAACAAGCAAAGTACTGCAAAATTTCCACCCCGAACAGGTAGTAAAAAATGACATGAAAATTTGAAAGCATCCGCAGTAACTTTTTCTAGAGATTGACGTACGAAGCGGACCCCCGAACAGCAGTAGGAGCGTTGAAACGATCAACAATAGAAA